ACGGACCTATCTACTGAAACTTGGCAAGCCAGAAAGGAATGGTAGGAAATCTTCAATGTGATGAAAAGAAAAAATATGCAGCCAAGAATCCACTATCCAGCAAGCCTGTCATTCAGAATAGAAGGAGAGATAAAAGTCTTCCCAAATAAAAAAATTTGAAAGAATTCGTCATCACTAAACCAGTCCTACAAGAAATCCTGAGGGGGACTCTATGAGGAAAATGTTGCAAGGAACATAAGATACCAGAGATATCACCATAAGCATAAATCCCAAAAAGGACACAATGACTTTATTTATTTTTCTTTATTTTATTTTATTTTTTACAAATAGTTTATTGTCAAATTAGTTTCAACATAACGCCCAGTGCTCATCCCCACAAGTGTCCTCCTCCATACCCCTCCCCCTTCCCCCCACATCCATCAGTCCTCAGTTTTTGTCAGCATTCAAGAGTCTCTCATGGCTTGCCTCTCTCCCTTTCCCCCACCATTTCCGCTGTTCTTCTCCCCCTTGTTCCTCTGTCAAGTTCCTCCTAATCCTCCTATACGTGCAAACATATGATATTTGTCCTTCTCTGCCTGACTTATTTCGCTCAGCATAACACCCTCAAGGTCCATCCATGTTGCTACACATGGCCAGATTTCATTCCCACCAACAGTGTAGGAGGGTGCCCGTTTCTCCACATCCTTACCAGCATCTAGAGTTCTCTGATTTGCTCATTTTAGCCACTCTGACTGGAGTGAGGTGGTATCTCAGTGTGGTTTTGATTTGTATTTTCCTGATGAAGAGGGATGCTGAGCATCGTTTCATGTGTCTGTTGGCCAGGACACAATGACTTTAAATCAATATATTTCAATAATAACACTGAATGTAAATGGACTAAATGCCCCAATCAAAAGACACAGGGAAGCAGAATGGATAAAAAAACAAAATTCATCTATTTGTTGTCTACAAGAAACACATTTTAGACTGGAGGACACCTTTAGATTGAAAGTAAGGAGATGGAGAAATATCTATCATGCTACTGGAAGTCAAAAGAAAGCTGGAGTAGTTATTCTTATATCAGACAAGCTGGACATTAAACTAAAGACAGTAACAAGGGATGAGGAAGGGCATTATATAATAATTACAGGGTCTATCCATCAGGCGGAGCTAACAATTATAAATGTCTACACACCAAATACGGGAGCCCCTAACTATTTAAAACAATCACAAACAGAAACAATCCTATGGATAAGAACGTGTTAATAGCAAGGGATTTTAAAACTCCACTTACAGCAATGGATAGACCTATTAGACAGGAAATCAATAAAGACACAAGGACTTGAATGACACATTGGACCAAATGGATTTGACAGACATATTTAGAACTCTACATCCTGAGGCCATGGAATTCACTTTCTTCTCAAGTGCACATGGCACATTCTCCAAGACAGATCACATACTGGGACATAAAGCCGCCTAAATATAAAAGAATTGAGATCATACCATACACATTTTCAGATCACAATGCTATGAAACTTGAAATCAATCACAGGAAGTCTGGAAAACCTCCAAAATCATGGAGGTTAAAGAACACCTTACCAAATAACGAATGGGCCAATCAGGCAATTAGAGAAGAAATTTAAAAATATATGGAAACAAATGAAAATGAAAATACAACAATCCAAACTCTATAGGATGGGGCAAAGGCAGTCCTAAGAGGAAAGTACGTTGCACTCCAGGCCTATTTCAAGAAATTAGAAAAAGTGAAAGGACAAAATCTAACACCACTCCTAAAGCAACTAGAGGGAGAGGGCAAGACCACCGCAAACCTGTCGGAGAAGAGAAATAATAAATATTAGGGCAGAAGTAAACAATATAGAAACCAAAGAAACAGTTAAACAGATCAATGAAACCAGGAGTTGGTTTTTGAAAAAATAAACAAATTTGATAAACCTCTAGCCAAGGTTCTCAAAAAGAGAGAACATTCAACTAGACAAAATCATGAATGAAAATGGACTTATTACAACCAATCCCTCAGAAATACAAGCAATTATCAGGGAATACTATGAAAAATTATATGCCAACAAACTAGACAACTTAGAAGAAATGGACAAATTCATAAGCACACACACACAGTACCAAAATTCACACAGGAAGAGATAGAAAACATGAACAGACCCATATCTAGTGAAAAAATTGAATCAGTTATCAAAAATTTCCCAACAAAGAAGAGCCCTGGACCTGATGGCTTCCCTGGGGAATTCTACCAGACGTTTAAAACAGAATTAATACCAATTCTTCTCAAGCTATTCCAAAAAATAGAAATCGAAGGAAAACTCCCGGACTCATTTTATGACACCAGCATCACTCTGATTCCCAAGACAGACAGAGATCCAGCAAAAAAAGAGAACTACAGGTCAATATCCTTGATGAATACAGATGCAAAAATCCTCAACAAGATACTTGCAAATCGAATCCAACAGCACATGAAAAGAATTATCCACCAAGATCAAGTGGGATTCATTCCTGGGTTACAGGGCTGGTTCAAAATTTGCAAATCAATCAATGTGATCCATCACATCAACAAAAGAAAAGATAAACACCATATGATCCTGTTGATAGATGCAGAAAAAGCATTTGACAAAATTCTTAATAAAGACCCTCGAGAAAGTGGGGATAGAAGGAACTTACTGAAACATCATAAAAGCCATCTATGAGAAGCCCTCAGCTAACATCATCCTCAATGGGGAAAAACTGAGAGCTTTCCCTGAGATCAGGAACACAATTGGGATGTCCACTCTCACCAGTGTTGTTTAACATACTGCTGGAAGTCCTAGCATCAGCAATCAGACAACAAAAGGAAATAAAAGGCATCAGAATTGGCAAAGAAGTCACTCTGTCACTTTTCACAGATGACATGATACTCTATACAGAAAACCCGACAGACTCCACCAAAAGCCTACTAGAAACGATCCACGAATTCAGCAAAGTTGCAGGATACAAAATCAATGTACAGAAATCGGCTGCATTCTTATACACCAACAATGAAGCACCAGAAAGAGAAATCAAGAAAATGATCCCATTCACAACTGCACAAAAAAAAACATAAAATATCTAGGAATATACCTAACCAAGGATACAAGAGATCTGTATGATGAAAACTATAGAAAACTTATGAAGGAAATTGAAGAAGACACAAAGAAATGGAAAAACATTCCATGCTCATGGAGTGGAAGAATATAGTTAAAATGTCATTACAACCCAAAGCAATCTACACATTCAATGCAATCCCAATCAAAATTGCACCAGCATTCTTTTCAAAACTAGAACAAAGTATCCAGAATTTGTATGGAACCACAAAAGACCCTGAATTTCGAAAGTAATATTGAAGAAGAAAACCAAAAGGGGAGGCCTCACCATCCCAGACTTTAGCCTCTACTACAAGGCTGTCATATCAAGATCGTATGGTATTGGCACAAAAACAGACACATAGACCAATGGAATAGAATAGAAAACTCAGAACTGGACCCACAAATGTACAGCCAACTAATCTTTGACAAAGCAGGAAAGAACCTCCAATGGAAAAAAGACAGCCTCTTTAACAGATGGTGCTGGGAGAATTGGACAGCAACATGCAGAAGAATGAAACTAGATCATTTTCTCATACCATACACAAAAATAAACTCAAAATGGATGAAGGACCTGAAAGTGAGATAGGAAACTATCAAAATCTTAGAGGAGAAAGCAGGAAACAACCTCCTTTACCTCCACCGCAGCAATTTCTTACTTGACACATCCCCAAAGGCAAGGGAATCAAGAGCAAAAAATGAACTACTGGGACCTCATCAAGATAAAAAGTTTCTGCACGGCAAAGGAAACAATCCATTAAACTAATAGCCAACCGATGGAATGGGAAAAGATAGTTGCAAATGACGTATCAGACAAATGGCCAGTATCCAAAATTTATAAGGAACTCACCAAACTCCATACCTGAAAAACAAACAATCCAGTGAAGAAACGGGCAGAAGATATGAACAGACACTTCTCCAAAGAGGACATCCAGATGGCCAAGAGACACATGAAACGATGCTTGCATCTTTCCTCATCAGTGAAATACAAATCAAAACCACACTGAGATACCACCTCACGCCGGTTAGAGTGGCTAAAACGAGGAAATCAGAGGACTCTAGATGCTGGCGAGGATGTGGAGAAATGCACACCCTCCTACACCGTTGGTGGGAATGTAAATTGGTCAGCCTCTCGGAAAACAGTGTGGAGGTTCCTCAAAAAGCTAACACTAGAACTCCCTTAGGACCCAGCAATAGCACTGCTAGGAATTTGCCCAAGGGATACAGGAGTGATGATGCATAGGAGCACATGTACCCCAATGTTCATAGCAGCACTCTCAACAATAGCCAAAACATGGAAAGAGCCTAAGTTCCATCAACTGACGAATGGATCAAGAAGATGTGGTATATTTACACAATGGAATACTACATGGCAATGAGAAAGAATGAAATCTGGCCATATGTAGCAACATGGATGGAACTTTGAGGGTGTTATGCTGAGCGAAATAAGTCAGGCAGAGAAGGGCAGATACCATATGTTTGCACGTATGCGATCCTTAGGAGTAACTTAACGGAGGACCATGCGATAGAAGAAGGGGAAAAATAGTGAGGAGAGGGAGGGAGGGAGGCAAACCATGAGAGACTCTTGAATGCCAAGGACAAACTGAGGGCTGATGGGGGTGGAGGGAGTGGAAGGGGTTGATGGGCATGGAGGAGGGCACTTGTGGGGACGAGCACTGGGTGTTATATGGAAACCTACTTGTAAATAAACTATTTTTTTAAAAAAGATAAATCATACAAAAAAATATAGGTCAAATATGTAAAAATATAATTTTAATATACACCATCTATCTCATTTATTGCCTTTGGATATAAGACCACATAGAAAACATTATTCTGTGTTTTAAATCTTCCTAAATACATCAATGAGGTCAGTTTTAATTTACTTACTGTGTAGTATCTACATCTGCATCAGGCTTAGTGCTCAACTGTTCCAGACAGTATATAAAAATCTAAGTCAAAAATAAAAAGTTTCAGTGGCATGAACTCTTAGAAACTAATCTATTTGGACATTAATTTTATGTAAATAAAAAAACAAATATATATATCTGTGTTATGTATGTATGTACAAATGTATATCTCCCAGAAGTGACAGAATATATATACCCCATATACATATTCTATAGGTATGCACTGGGAACATATATGCCAATATATATAACACAAATGATGGTCAATTAAAAGTACCTGTGTTTTGCTCTGACTATACAATTTTTTTTTTTTTTTTACAAATAGTTTATTGTCAAATTAGTTTCCACATAACACTCAGTACTCATCCCCACAAATGTCTGACTATACAACAATCTTGACTGCATTTTAGGAAAAGACCTTTTCCTTTCTCTCATCAACTCAATCACATGCTCAACTTTATGTCCTCACAAAGTATTTGGTCCAATCAAAGAATTTCACACTCTAGATGCAGTATAAATATCGTGTCACTGAATTTGTGCTCTAAGAGAAATAAATGTAAAGTAGGACAAGAACACAAAAAAAGCAAGTATACTTAAAGGAGTACTGCTAGAACAAGTTGGAATTAATCTTACCTTGAATTTTATTATGTTACCTTACTTCCTATAAACTATTACAGACTCAGATAAGATGAAAAAAGAATACACATTTAATATATGTCATACATATATTATTAATAGCAGGAAGTTTACTATAATTTGCATTATTTCAGGCTTCAGGGCATCAGTACTTTTACATATTACCTGCATGATATTGATGCTTAGCTGACAAACCTCCTCCTGTGTTTTAGGTTGTTGAAAGACCTATAAGGAAGAATTTTGATGAAAGTTTTTGGATTTAGCTAAGACAACAAAACTTTTTGTTTGTGAAGTTCCATATAAAAAATTAACTCCTGGGAAAACTGCTTCCAGTTTGTCCCTCCAAACAAAGTATGAAGAGCTGCCCTAGGGGCAGTGTTTTGAGGCCTGTGTAAGGCACTGGCATGGAGCTGGTTGACAACATCTGGGTCAGTCATTCTCTCTGCATACAAAGTGTCAACATTTCTAAGTACTCTACCTACAACATTAACATTCACATTTTAACTTCCATCAGCCTATCTGGGAAACAAGAAATCAACAGCTAAAATCAAATTAAACAAATAAGCAGCTGAGGGAAAAGCTTTCTAGTGCTGAAATTACTTATTTACAACTGTGATTCCCAAGAGCTCCTGGGAAAGTCTGAAATAGTAGTGAAATTTAATAGAAAACTTACACTGGCTTCTCCAGGCTTACACTCTAGAACTCCTTTAAGTGACTGCAAAGAATGTACAATGCACTGTTCAAACTGACAGGGCTGAAGGGGGAAAAAAAAGTACATTACTTAAAATTCAAAAACAAGCATTGGTTATTAAGACATTTAACAGAAGCAAATTATGGTCCAAAACTCTCAATTTTACAGATTGAAAGGAAAAAAATGTGAACAACTTGACAAATAATCTCCTAGCTATCAAGATGTAGATTTGGCATGTTTGCACTTGATATTTAAAAATGGGTGAATCTTAGACTCTAAAGTACATCTAATTCACAAAGAACAGAAGTCAGGTATAACAAATTTTTCTCAAAAACTCTACTCTTCTAAGAGAAAAATGACTTGATGAAGAGCAGATATAACAAGTTTATATTTTAAACACTACTTCGAGAATATATTCTGAGCTCAATCTCCCAGATCCTTCACATCTCTGGTACTGTTCAACAAAATTCAATGTTACTAATAATGATTTGTACAGGATATTCAATTCAAAAGTCATTGTAGTCATTTTTTATATACATTAAATCAGAAAATAAAAAGTGAAGATATGTCCAACAACTGGCATTCAAGATAAGTATGAATGAATCTTAATATGTTAGCTCATAATGTACTTAAAGTTTCCCTTTATGCCAGGCATACTCTAAGTGATGGGGTTCTAGGGATAAGACAGAAAGACCTCTTATTAAGTGTACACTCTAGGATTAGAGTCACAATCATAAAAGTCACAATCAACAAAACTGTTACTTTTTACTAAAAAAAAATAGAAATAAGTCAATTGCAAACTAGAATAAGTGCCATGAAAAAAAAAGAGAGAACTCAGAGAAATGGTGATGATGGAGAGGAATCTGCTCTAACTAGGATGGTAAAAGAAGAGCTCCCTTAGACAGTGATAACATTTAAGTGGAGACTTGAAGGGCAAGAGGAGACAGTCCCTTAAAAGATAAGGTAAGGGGTTGGTGAGCTCTGGGAGGCAGGACAACATGTGTACAGGCCAGGGTGGGCAGAGTCTAAAGAGACTGAGGAATCACAAGAACAGCAGTGCATCACAACCACTAAGCATGAGTTTAGCAGTACAAGATGAGGCTAAGAGTCTGGGTTTTACTCAGGCACAGGGCTTTATAAGGCATACAGTCCAATTAAAAAAAAAAAGCTCTGTGCAAAAGTCTGGAGTCAGAATCTCTCCTCATTACATGCTTCAATTTTTAAAAAGAGAATGGGGGATAAAAACTCAACAGAAGAAACAAGTTTATTTTCTTACAAAAAGGAACCCAGACTTAATGAAACCAAAATATTGCCTCAACCTTAATGTTATTTTAATACTGCACTTTGAAGCCACCAGAGGGCACCATAAAAAAAAAAAAAACACTTCTAAGTCAAAAAAAAAAAAAAAAAAGAATATAGGATAAAATACCAACTACAATGAACTATTTCAAGAGGCATAATGTTTGTTAAATATTTGACCTTATGCCTCTAACCTACCTGCCTCAAAAGGTAGGAAAATCTAAGAAGTTAAAATAATAATGGTGAAAATTAAATTTAAAATTCAACTGTGGGTAATAAAATCTTTAGTTAAATTTCTTGCATTAATATTTGGACTAGATTTTCTTAATTCCTTTTCATATCTACAATAAATGGATAAGAAATAGCAGAGAACTGAATTAGTAGTTTCAGTTAAATTGGGGGTAATGATAGTCTAAATATATATTTCTTTTTTCTAAAAAGAAGCAGAGCTATTTCTGCATATTGTCAGTGAATCATCCAACGTAGCTGACTACAGGAGTTATCACAAATCATTCCAGTTCTTATGGAAGAAAAAAATTCTCAGAATAAGCAGTAAACATTTTCAACATGAGAAGAAAACAAGATGCTTTCAAACAAGCTGTTTCAGAGCACTGAAGTGAGGTTCAAATTAAATATACACTACTTCAGGGGTGTCTGGGTGGCTCAGTTGGTTGAGGGACCAACTCTTGATTTTAGCTCAGGGTTGTGAGATTGAGCCCTTAGTTAGACTCCATGCTGAAAATGGAGCCTGCTTAAGATTTTCATTCTCTTAATGGGCATCATCTTAATACTGTTGGTGGGAATGTAAACTGGTGCATCCCCTCTGGAAAACAGTGTGGAGGTTCCTCAAAAAATTAACAACTGAACTCCCCTATGACCCAGCAATTACACTGCTAGGAATTTACCCAAGGGATACAGGAGTGCTGATGCATAGGGGCACAGGTACCCCAATGTTCATAGCAGCACCCTCAACAATAGCCAAATCGTGGAAAGAGACTAAATGTCCATCAACTGACGAATGGATCAAGAAGATGTGGTTTATCTACATATACAATGGAAAACTACATGGAAAGAGACTAAATGTCCATCAACTGACAAATGGATCAAGAAGATGTGGTTTATCTACATATACAATGGAAAACTACATGGAAATGAGAAAGAATGAAATCTGGCCCTGTGTAGCAACGTGGATGGTACTCAAGGGTGTTTTGCTAAGTGAAATTAAGTCAGGCAGAGAAGGACAGATATTATGTTTTCACTCATTTGTAGAAACAGGAGAAACTTAACAGAGGACCATGGGGGAGGGGAAGAGGAAAAAATAGTTAAGGAGAGGGAGGGAAGCAAACCATAAGAGACACTTAAATACTGAGAACAAACTGAGGGTTGATGGGGGTGGAGGAGAGGGGAAAAGAGGTGATGGGCATGGAGGAGGGCACTTGTTGGGATGAACACTGGGTGTTAGATGGAAACCAACTTGACAATAAACTATAAAAGGAAAAAAAAGTAAATACACATTAAAAATGATTTTTTAAAAAAGATTCTCCTTCTCTCTCCCTCTAGACCCCTCATTCTTGTTCTGTTTCTCTATAAAAACAAACATAGGGAAAATCCAAACCTAAATAAACAAACAAGCAAACAACTTAAGCTGAAATAACATAGTGAAGCAAAGTTTAATGTTCATTTCTTTACTTCTTTTTTAAATTTTTATTTATTTATTTTCAGAGAGAGAGAGAAAGTGCTACCAGCATGAATATTGATGCAGGGCTCAGTCTCACAAACTGTGAGATCATGACCTGAGCCAAAACAAGAGTTGGGTGTGTAAATGACTGAACCACTCAGGCACCCCTACGTTAGCATATTTCTTTACCAACATCTGGCTAGATGACACAATGGCTAACACCACAAGTTAACTTTCTATGGGTCATCTATCGACAAAGTTTAGTCTTCTAGCTTGTATGTGTGACAAATATGAAATTAGTTATTCTATGGTTACAGTTTGTTATTGTAGTCAAACTTTAAATTGCCTACAAACAAGTTTCTAAGTAACCATTTCAAAGTATTTTCAAAGAGGTTTATTTATTATAATCAAACAACCAAAGTTAGATGCGGCAGCTACCAAATAAGCACTAACTGGGAGGGGGGAAAGTGGCTTCTTTTAAGACTATATGGCCAATGGGTTGCCTAGCTGGGTCAGTCAGAAGAGCATGCGAACCCTTGACTTCAAGTCATGAGTTTCAGTCCTACACTAGGTGCAGAGTAAATATATAAACTTAAAAAAAGAAAAGATTACATGGCTATTATGTGACAGAACTAAGGACTGAACCAAATTATGATTCTAAATCCAGTACAGCACATTTTCCTCCATATCATCACTGTCCATAAGAAGTATAATTGTGAGCCACAAACACAAGTCATATATATAATTTAAGAGTTTCCAGTAAACACACTAAGAATATTAAATGGAAAAAATTTTAATATAATTCATGTTATACTATAACAAAATATTGTCTCAACATATATTCAATAAAAAGTTGAGATATTTTACATTCTTTCTTTGTATACTGAATCTTACACAAGCCATGTCTAAAATGACTGCTGTACTGGACCATGCAGGTCTACTCCACATCTCCTTTCTCTAAATATTTAGTATGACAGAATTAGCTATAGGATAGTTTGTATACAAGCACAAATAATTATGAAAAGTAGAATAAGCCAAATAAAACTAATTTTTATTAAAAACAAATTCTTTAAAATATAATTAAAATAGATTTATTAAAAATAAATTTCCCTCATTTCAAACATGATTTAATTTACAAAAATTTGGAAGTAAGCACTGGTGTTCTAAACCACATTGTTATATAAAGGTATATTTTTAGGGTACTCAGGAGGAATAGGAGGAAAGAATTTCAATTTGTCAAAAATTTTCCAACTCCCAAAGTGAGGCTCTCAATAAGTACAGCAATTATTTTAAAAAGTGCAGCAATTTGAAGAAATGAAGAAATACTACATGAGATCATTATGTCTCAACAATCTCTATTCACCATTATTTTGTAAATTTGGGCAAGTCAAAACTATTTTATTCTAGTTTTCTCATCTACTAAATAGGCAGAAACCTGACTCCCTCCTCCAGATTTATTTTCTCCATTTTTCTTACTAAGGTAAAACAGAAATTGTTGGGATTAGCAAAGTGCTCTGCTAAAAAAAAAAAAAAAAAAAAAAAAAAAAAAAAAAAAAAAAAAAAAAAAAAAAAAAAAAAAAAAAAAAAAAAAAAAAAGCCATTTTTCCAGCCTCCACAACAGACAGGGATGGGCATGTGAATCAATTTTAGCCAATTAGATATAGGAAGAATTGTCAGCTACCGCTCTTGAAAAAGTGCTGGCCTTTTCTCATGACAGAAATAAGGCCATGGTGGTTGGAATTGCAATGGCCTTCCTGTGATCATGAGGCCATCCTGAGACAGAAGCCACAATAAGAATCACAAAGAACAAAATCAGAAGGAGCCTTGTGTACTGACTGCATGATTAAGCTGCCAAACCAGTCCTAATTCCTTTAATGTTAGATGAAAAAGAAATTTGGGGTGCCTGGGTAGCTCAGTCAGTTAGGCATCTGACTTTGGCTCAGGTCATAATCTCATAGTTTATGAGTTGAAGCCCTGTGTCAGGCTATGTGTGCTAATAGCTCAGTGGAGCCTGCTTTGGATTCTGTGTCACCCTCTCTCTCTACCCCTCTCCCACTCATGCTTGCTCTTGCTCTCTCTCTCTGTCTCTCTCCCCCACCCCAGAAATAAAATAAACATTAAAGAAACTTTTTCAAGAAGAAAAGGAAACTCCCATCTCCTTTAAAGACCCTGGATGTTTTAGCAGCTGAATGTCAATTTAACTGACACACCACCTATAGAATCATCGTGGGTGGGAATTGATGAGACAGATGTGAAAACACGATAAATCATGAAAACCATTATCAAAAGTATTTTGAAAATCTGTAAGTCCCATCTAAACAGATGATGACTCTAAAATGAATAGATAGACCATCTTTATAATTGCCTGCCTGACCTAGTATATATCTGGAGAGGTCAGTTATTGTTGGTTTGTTTTATTTTGGGTTGGGGTCAGGAATAGAGGTTTGTTTGTTTTTTTCTATTCTGCTTTTCTGAAAAATTCAAGTTACTGGGCAACTTAGAATGAAGCATAATCTATTTTATTTTATTTTTTAAATATAATTTATTATCAAGTTAGCTAACATGCAGTATATATACAAAGTGTTCTTGGCTTCAGGAGTAGATTCCCATGATTCATCACTTACATACAACACCCAGCGCTCATCCCAACAAGTGCCCTCCTCAATGCCCATCATCCATTTTCCCCTCTCCCCTGCCACCCCTCCCTCCAACCCTCAGTTTGTTCTCTGTATTTAAGAGTCTCTTATGGTTTGCCTCCCTCTCTGTTTGAAACTATTTCTTTTCTCCTACCCTTCCCCCATGGTCTTCTGTTAAGTTTCTCAAATTCCACATATGAATGTGAAAACATATGGTATCCATCTTTCTCTGACTGACTGACTTCACTTAGCATAATACCTTCCAGTTCCATCCACACCGCTATAAATGGCAAGATTTCATTCTTTCTCGTTGCCAAGTAGTATTCCATTGTATATATAAACCACATCTTCTTTACCCATTTATCAATCGATGGCCATTTTGGCTCTTTCCATATTTGGCTATTGTTGATAGCGCTGCTATAAACATTGGAGTACACATGCCCCTATGGTTCAGCACTCTTATATCCTTTGGATAAATTCCTAGTAGTGCTATTGCTGGGTTGTAGGGTAATTCTATTTTTAATTTTTTGAGGAACCTCTACACTGTTTTCTAGAGCGGCAACAGCAGTTTGCATTCCCACCAACAATTGAAGCACAATCTATTTTAAAATGTAATGCAAACAAAATACACTGGCACATGATGAAGAAAGAGCACCCTAAAAGAAATCCACTGTTTTTATTTTTTTAAATATAAAAATGTAGTGTTATGCAAAAATGAGTCTGAAAAAGAAAACTTTGAAGTTTATTTTTCTGTTTCCACAAACGACTTAAAATTACAATGCAAAGAATATATGCTCCCTATTAAAAAAAACCACTTATGTTGAATATGATATCCACTAATGACTAATCATCAAAAAGTATTTAAACTTACAAGAGAAGTCAGTCCTTCATTATCAACAATCCAGTCTTCCTTTTCAGCTAATCTCTTTATTTCTATGGGGAAAATAAGCACACAAGTACTTTTTATTATAATTTCTCATTGAACTTTATAGAAATAAAAATCTATAAAGGTTGTGGTTTTTCATTATTTTATATAGGTTGTGAAAAAAATGGAAGTAGGTAATAGGTATAAGACATATTTCTGGTAGACTCAAGTTTTTAAATGTGTATTATTTTTCTGGATTTTTAAAAATACAATATTAATATGAATAAATTTAGCCCAATTTGGAGACTGTTATTTATTAATATAAATAAATTTAGCCCAATCTGGAGACTGTTTTTTATTAATATAAATCAATCTTGCCCAATTTGGAGTTGGCTTAATGACAACTTTTGACAACTGCTTATTACTTATTCAAAGAGCACTGATATTTAATATGTACAAAATAAGCTACAAAATATTTTTCACAAAATACCTGATGAAAAATTTATATTTTAATTCTATATACTTCTGATGATTGGCAGATTGATTCTCACTTGGCTAAAGGAATGCTACTTGTCCAAACCTTTAGCATTTCAGGCTGTTTCAGGTCCTTGAGGGGAGCAGGTAATGAATTCAGAGGACACTGCTGTTTCCCACCTGGATTCTACTCCTTTTCTATTGACACAGTATATTTATTCACCAATTCTTAGAGATGTAACCTTCTTACTTAAAAGTCTTGGTGACAATTATGGCTTATGTCATTTATAATGACGTTCTTGATTGTTTCTGGCAAAATTTAATATCCAGAAGGTGGCTTTGTAAAGATAACCTTGTCTTTTGTGATTGTGTGTACAAAATTTTTCCTGAAAATTCTAAAAGGTATAGAGAAAATGAGCATCGTCTAAAACTTCTACTATACAGAAAACTGTCGTTAGTTAGTGTTCTTCTGATTTTACATTGATATTTCTAAATATTTAAAATGTACACACATTTTCAAATTGGGATCATCCATTATATTCATTTTATACTATACTTTTTCTACTTAACATTTGTCATAAGGATGTTATATCCTTAAATATTTTCAAATATATCCATCTTAATTTATGCATGGTCTGGCATCTCAAGTAAATAGATTTGAAAAGATATTCAAAGAAGGAAAAAAATTCTAGGGGTGCCTGGGTGGCTTAGTCAGTTAAGCATCCAACTTAGGCTCCAGTCATAATCTCATGGTTCATGGGTTCGAGCCCCACTTCAGGTTCTGTGCTGACAGCTCGAAGCCTGGAAAGCCTGCTTCGGATTCTGTGTCTCCCACTGTCTCTGCCCCTCCCCTTCTCGTGCTCTGTCTCTTGCTCTCTTAAAAATAAATAAACATTAAAAAAAAAAAAAAGAAGGAAAAAATTCTATTGAGCAGCTTCTGGTGATCTAAAATATTCAAGTTTCCATAAAAGTAATTTTCTCATTTTCAAGGATTAGGAGCTAGAAAGAGGTGGGATATTCAGATAATCATTGTCCAGCAAATGTCATCAATTTCTCTTAACATACCTTCTGCTGTATGTTGCAATGTGATCATCACACAACGTACTCGGAGATCCAAAATGAGATCCTGGATAGTCTGTAACATGTCATTAGGAATTTCAAGGGCAGTCAATGATTCATAAGTAAGCCTATAAAAGAGACACAACGAAACAAAAGTGAGTAGATTGGGATCTCAAAGCAATTTCTGTCATCAGTTTGGCCATTCTATAATGATGCATTATGGAGGCTATAAGCTACAATATTATACTGAAAGCAAGGGGAAAGTAAGACCATAGCAGTAATTCTAATACAACAGTAACACTGAATTAAATAATAAAAAAGATACATTCAGTATGTATTCTTATCAAACATAAACAACAGGAAGATTTAGGAGCTCAGGTACTAGAGGATACAGAGGCAAAAGGACAGAGTAAAATTCTTTGTTGAACATGTTTTTCTTTTTTTCAAAAAGGCAAAAAAAAATTTACTCCTTTTTAGAAGATATTCTTCTTTAAAAAGATATTCCATATTTACCTTATGGTCTGAATGACATGAGCCAGCCACGGTCCTGAGAGCTCAGACTTCACCTCCCAGCCTCCATACTGCCTCAGTCCACACTCGGGGATGCTAAGTGGGAGCAGGGCTCCGCGGATCAACTTCACAAGACAGTGCATTACTTCTTGAATCATTTTCTAGACAATGATCAAAGTATAACTGCATTAAAAGTCATTCATTTGATCAAATTAAATCAACTAAAGGAATCTGCCTAACAATGACGAATAGTTTGAATACATATAAAGTTTTCTAGCAACTTTGGTTGAGAAAATCCTACCTTGTGAAAAAGTCTACAAACTTATCCTTAACTTACCTTAAAATCATTTTGTCTTTGCCTTACATTCTTTGATCTTTCAATCTGGCCTGATTTCTCTGCAGTCTTAAAAATCAAAACAGCAAAATAAAATATGTTAGTTGTCTCTAGAAATAATGTATAAAAATAAGAAATACTTTAGCAGCTATATATAAAGAAAGCATTAGATATAGTTGTAACTTGATTGAAAGGAATATATAAGACATAATCTAAGATTTTGATTTCAAAATAGACTTAATTAAAAACCTTTTCTTATTACAAGAAGTCACTTATCCTCCTAAAACCTTTAGGAACAATTCCTATAAATAAACCTAAGCATCAAGCTAAAATTACCTTTTCTGTAGGTGAATTTCATGTGCTATGTTCATTAACAATTTTATATATGGTTAAACCTAAATCATAACTATGACAACATTTTCAACACTATTTCTCATTAGCTAGTAAAGAAATAAAAGGAGGAGTAAACTCTGGATTAATGTGTAAGTATCTTAGGCTATCCATTCCCTTACCTTAAACATTTACAAATAAGCACTATATTTGGCATTTTAGTTTTACAAAACTAAAAGTCATTATTCTTTTATCAGGAATTTTACTGTCTAATTTAGGAGAGAATAGATTCTGGAATCCTAAGACTAAATTTTTATCTGTTTACTGCTAGCCATATTTTCCTTTGATATTTCTTTGTCCTTAAAGTAATATGTGGAAGATTACACTGATTAAAAGAGCGATCTATTCTATTGGATTTCAGTTAACTTTTTATTCCCAAACTTTCTAACAACTAAATATTACCATATAATATGCCTGGGAAGGGCAAGCCTAGAAAACTTTCCAAATAAAGGAATAATAATAAGATGGTATGTAAAGGATGTACATCAATAATAAGATTTGAAAGAAAATTCTTATAATTCATTAACATAATGCAAAATTATCCTTTAAAGTTAAAATGCTTATGTATTATTAGTTAGAGACATGTCAAAAAAACTTTCAAGTTAAGAAAATTGCATCATACGGGCGCCTGGGTGGCTCAGTCAGTTAGATGTCCAACTCTTGCTTTAAGCTCAGGTCAAGATATCAGTTGGTGAGTTTGAGCCCCACACTAGGCTCCTCATTGACTGTGGAGCCTGAGTGGGATTCTCCCTCTCTGCACTTCTCCCCCTCTCTCAAAATTAATCTTAACAAAAAACAAAAAAAGAACAATTGCATCATAAACATTTATGATATTGACGTCAAGTTAATTTTAAAATATAATGTTATATTTTTTGTATAAGCTAGAAAATAATGTATAGAGTTCATTATTATGATGAATATTACTAACGTGAAAGAGTAAAAGAAGGGTAAGGATTTTAAATGTTTTGTACAAAGAACATCAGATGTACCTGATAAAAAGTAGTCAACATACATATACATAATTAGCTTTATAGGCTCTGATTTACATTTATTTTACAATTTTATATTAAACTGTAGCTTTTTATCATTTAAAAAAAATTTGGGAGGGGTGGCACCTGGGTAGCTCCGTCAGTTGAGCGTCTGACTTTGGCTCAGGTCATGATCTCACAGTTCCTAAGTTCGAGCCCTGTGTCAGGCTCTGTGCTGACAGCTCAGAGCTTGGAGCCTGCTTCGGATTCTGTGTCTCCCTCTCTCTCTCTGCCCCTCCCCTGCCTGCACCCTGTCTCTCTCAAAAATAAACATTTAAAAAATGTTTAAAAATTTTTTTTGACATCTATTTATTTTTGAGAGACCAAGAGAGACAGAGTGTGAGCAAGGGAGCGGCAGAGAGAGGAGACACAGAATCCGAAGCAGGCTCCAGGCCCTGAGCAAGCTGTTAGCACGGAGTCCGATGCAGATCTCCAACTCATGAACCGTAAGAACATGACCTGAGCCAAAGTCTGACGCTCAACCAACTGAGCCACCAGGTGCCCCTATCTTTTGTCTTTGTAGAAATGCACTTTTACTTTAAAAGATCAAAGTTTAATTTTTGAAAAAACTAAATATAAAATTCACTTCACTAATGTCAATAAACCAATTCCTAAAATTCATTAGACAACAACACTCAAAATTCTTTGAACACAGGGATTTAACTCAGAAGCTGATGCTTTTGTCCCTTTATTTTTAAAACAAATGAGAAGTAATTAAAGTGTTTTAAAGCAACAGTGAGAAGTGACTAGAGGAGCTAATATTAGGAGCACAGCTAGCTAAGAAGATGCAACACTAACCTAGGTGAGCAATCATAGCATCTTAGACAAAAGGAGGCAGAACACGGGCTTCCAATGTAGAGTTAACTGGTCATGGCAGTTCTGCTGGGTGTTGCAGTGAGAAAGGAGAGATGTCAAGAGCGACTGCCATCTGAGTCACGACCAGTCAGGTAAGTCCAACTGGCCCTGAATGTCTGTTAGCTTACTTTCTGTTTCTGTCAAGTGTGATACTCTGATTCAAAGTAACACTTTGGGCAATATAGTGGCCTAGGTGTAGAAAAACAAATGAATGGCCACAGGCTTACTGAGGTGATGAATTAGCTATTCTCTAAATATTGCAGTTTGCCAGGTCTTAGTCCTAGGCACTTTTTTTCTCTATATACTCTCGCTAGTTTATTCTCACAGCGTCAAATATCATTTCTATGTAATGCCTTCCTATTTTGGATTCTGCACTCATTTCCCACATGTGTATGTAGGGGGAGGGGCCTCCCCTCAAAAACAAGCAGTTTTCCAGATACCAGCTGTGGGCAGTAAGTGAGATAATTCATTTGAGAAATACAAAATAAAAGCTGTGCTGTCTAGTAAGAATTGGTTTACAACCTATTGGAAATATGTACAAACTGCCCCCCAACAATGCAGTCCCAAACCCTTAAGACACTTGACTTCCTGGTTCTTCTTCCTCACCCCCGTCTATTTCACTGGCTTATTTTTTGCAGGCTTTGCAATGAGCACGCATCAAAGAAGTGAAGTCTCTGGGTCACCTCAAGTAATGTACATTTGTTTCAAACAGACTACTTTTTGGCCTTACATGTGCATAGGTGATTTCCTGGTAAGGCTATAACCTCTGTAGTACTCAGCCAATGAGGAATCAGGAGAGGGACTACACACCAGGAAATAAACTGCCTGTTGTAACTGCCACCTACTCTTGCAAGAGTGTTGATTAAAGCCTTGCTTCACTGTGCTCTGAGTCTCCACATCCCTCCTTTGATTGGGGCAGTGGGCTTAGTTCTCACACCAGCTGAGTGTCCTACAATTCAACTCACTTCTGGCACTATCTACCTGGGGATAAAGTGAAATCCCACAAGGTAAGGGCTTAGTCCTAAAATATCCGTGCCACCCTCTCCCCCCAACACTTAGATGCCAATTTCAAGACCCGGTTGTTACCTGTGCTTCTGACCTACTGGCCTCAGACTGGAGATACCCATGACTCACTGCTTAGGTTCAAATAATTTGTTAGAATAGCTCACAGTACTCAGGAAATGTGTCTACTCACTCAATTACCAGTTTATTGTAAAAGGATATAACTCAGAAATGGCCAGGTAGAAGAGGTGCATAGTGCAAGGTATGGGAAAAGGGTGCAAAGCTTCCATACCCTCTCCAGGCAAGCCATCCTCCCTGAATCTCCACACATTCACCAACCTGGAAGCTCTCTGAATCCTGTCCTTTGGGTTTTTATGGAGGCTTCATTATATAGGCAAAACTAATAAAATTACTGGTCATTGTCAACTGATTCAACCTCCAGCTCCATTCCCCTCTCTAGAGGTCTGAGGGTGAGACTGAAAATTCCAACCCTTTCATCCTTAGGTAGGGACAAAAGTAACATACAATGTAACATAACATAACAACAACTTTTTGCACTCCTCACTCAGGAAATTCTCAGGGTTTAGGAGCTCTGTGCCAGAAACCAGAAGACAAATAATATATTTCTTATTATAAATCACAATGTCACGTTTCCAAATTTATATCTCCAACCCAAATCTTTCCTCTGAAGCCCAAATTTGAATTTCAGATTGCCTACTTGATGTCTCTTCTTGAATAATTCACAGGCATTTCAAATCCAACACATTAAAAGTGGAAAACTGCATGTTCTTCAAGTCTTTCTGATGAGGGACCATAAGGCAGGCAGAGGGCCAAACACAAGCTAGCACACTCCCCACCCTCAGGTAGGACATATGTGATATTCCTCAGGTACTCCTGGATGCCCAAGAACAAAGGAAAGGAAAGGAAAGAAAACAAATGGCTAACTGATAGAGATCATAGTCATGCAGGGCAGTCTCCATCAGTTTATGAGTATCTTAGTAAATTACGAGAAAAAGGCAATCTTATAAATAGCCTAATCTCCATAAACCCATAGACTCAAGTTTCCCAGAGTCCTTTGTATCACCATCCCCTCCATTGTGATGTGGGGAACAAAGGTAAGAAGAAAACGGCAGGTAAAATTACATTTCTTTATAACCTGCAGCCCATTGGCAAATACTTGAGGCAAATACAGAGTGTAGTATTTCTTCAGGAACTGCCTACTATCTATCTTAATGTTAATATTTTGCTAGAGGGAAAAACCACCTTAGCTTGACAATAGCTAGGCCTCTAGTAATGTCAGTCTTTAGCATATGAAAGTCTCTTTGAAAACTTCCCTTTTGATTTTACCTTCCCCAAGTCTCTATTACATAACCAGCCATAGTACGACAACCCCAGTGAAGCTCTTTCTTCCCACAGGTCGTCCGAGTGGTACTTTAATAAAATCACCTTTTTGCCCCAAAAAAAGAAAACCAAAATTGGAGGCATCCAATTCCAGACTTCAAGATGTATTACAAAGTGTAATCATCAAAACTGTATGGTTCTGGCACAAAAACAGATACTCAGATCGATGGAACAGAATAAAGAACCCAGAAATGGACCCACAAACATATGGCCAACTAATCTCTGACAAAGCAGGAAAGAATATCTAATGGAATAAAGACAGTCTCTTCAGCAAATGGTGCTGAGAAAACTGGCCAGCAACATGTAGAAAAATGAATCTAGACCACTTTCTCACACCACAAAAATAAATGCAAAATGGAAAGCCCTAAACATAAGGCAGGAAGCCATCAAAAT